CTCTGCCTCACTACAGGGATCAAGACTGAACTGCTCAACAAGGAAAAGTAGGAGTGATGGCGAGACCAGTGAGGTGGAAGGGCAATGAGTGTGCATGCCTGAAACAGTCTTATCAGCTCCTCCTTGCTCAATTTGTGGTGGTTTTCACTGGTCCTGCTTACAATTTCCCACATAGAATAACAGAATATTAGAGTTGGAGGAGACCTCAGGAGGTCATCAAGTCCAACTCTCTGCTAAAAGCAGGACCAATCCCAACTAAATTGTCCCAACCAGGGCTTTGTCAATCTGGGACTCTAGGGATGGAGATTCCACCACCTCCCTAGGTAACCCATTCCAGTGCTTCACCACTTTCAGAGTGAAATAATTTTCCCTAATATCCAACCTAGACCTCCCCCACTGTAACTTGAGACCATTCCTCCTCATTCTGCCATACGTCACCATTGAGAACAGCCTCTCTCCAGCCTCTTTGGACTCCCCCCTTTCTGGTAGTTAAAGGCTGCTAACAAATCCCCCCTCAGTTTCTCCTCATAATTCATGTGCTTCAGCCCCCTAATAATTTTTGTTGCCCTCTGCTGGACTCTCTCCAATGTGTCCACATCCTTTTTTTAATGGGAGTCCCCAGGATTTTGTATAATACTCCAGATGTGACCTCACACCAATGCTGAATACAGGGGAAATAAAGGGTAGATAGGTAACTCTCCTCCTTCAGCAGCCAAACAGCTCTCTATTTCTCCTGCTGACATTCTAGATAACAATCACCTGGATGTCAAACTCCCCCTCGCTGGTGGGGAGCTTCTGAGGAGCTGGCTCTTGGGTTGGAGAAGGGGGTCAAAGCAAATCCTTTCCAACTCAGTCATATGAACTGGAGTTCAGGCTCACTCGAGGTAGCACCAGGGAAGGGGACAGATGTGCCGTCCGCCATCTTTGCTGCCGAGCCAGGTGTGGCCTTGGACCTGGAGAGGCCCTCAGCTAAGGAGCTGGTGAGACTGCTGGTGGCTGAATAAACGAACGAGCTTGAAGAGCCAGAGCTGATGTCCAATTACCCTGAGAAGCCGGAAGAACCAGCATTAGGGGCACTACCAGTGGCTGAGTATCTGGCAGCCTTGCGGAGCTTGACCTGGAGCTGGGGTAGGAAGTAGCCCAGGTATTTTCGGCTGACAATCTGGTGCCTTAACAGAGGGTCAGTGTGTTGCAGGGAGGATATACGCTGACCTGGTAGCAAGATAACCCACCACTTTAATGGTCATGTGCTGGAATGCAGTGGAGTCAGATGGGGATACGTTTCACAATCCCCTGCCACTCTGCCTCCCCACTGTAGGTCTTGAGACCACTGCTAATTAATAGCACTTCTCTGCTTGAGGGTTAGCCCTACAGGCTGCTTGTCAGCACTCCTATGCCTAAGAGACAGTACTACGGATTGCTTACCAGCACCTCCCTGCTTGAGGACTAGCACTACAGACTGCCTGCTGGCACTCCCCTATTTAAGGGACAATGCTGTAAGACTGTTTACCAGCATTCTAAGAAACGGAGCTAGTTCCCAGGGTGACCAGCAGGAGACGCCACAGCAGTGACTCTGACACTGCTACAAACTCCTAGGGACACAGTGTACCTTAGTGACTTACACAGACCAAGAATCTGTAGACCTAACCCCAAGACTGAATATACAGTCTCATGAGATGCATTGAGTTGTCAGGTCTGCGTTAGAGTTCTTTAGTTTTTAAAAAGGCAGACCAATAGGAGCTAAGGGAGAGCTTCACTTTTCTTCAAAGGACATAAGATTGCCATCCTGACATCCTATGGAATAGATTCTCTCTTCCAGGGTAGAAGCAGTCTGTTACCTGAACAAGATGAGATCCAGATGGCAAGTAGGTAAGAAACCCTTTCCTGGAGGAGTGCAGAGCAATCTCCTATAGGGAAAAACTTCCTGATTTTCCTGGAACTTTTAAAACACTATTGTTCAATTTGAAGGACAGGCAAAGTTTGAGGTAACATACACATTCCTGTTATCAGTTATTGAAAACACAGTGCTAACATGTTAGTCATACAGACCAAACAATCAGTGTTCTGGTATGATGAGAAAAAAGGAAGTCTTCTAAGAAAAAATTGAATATAATGTAGGGTTTTTTCCCCCCGAGATAACATGAATCTCTTTGGTAACAGTCATAAGATATATCCTTTTTAAAAATACATCCTCCTTAAAATGCTTGTAAAATGCTGTTACAAAAGATTACACAAATAAACAAGATGAAAACCAGTAAAAGATGCAAATAAAAAATTAAAGTAGATAAAAACTCAATAGATGTTTACATTTATGGGCAAAAATGCCTATATTTTGATATCTCCATTTATTTAACAAAGGTATGCAACAATCTGCTTCAGATTTGTTTAGATATAGGAAAATATTGATGTGTCATTCCTAGTGCTCCTAAGACTATGAAAATTCAATAACCAGAGCACCTACTTACATTTACTTGATGGTAAACATGGAAATATAAGAATGCATGAAAGTGCTCTGAAGTCAGTGAAATATATAAGTGACTATTTCAGAAACCAAACACAAGCAAGCGTGCCTATCAAAGGTGATATTATAAAGGAGGTGTAAAGTTTCACTCAAGGAACAGATCCTGGGGTTTATTTAGTGCAGCCATAAAAAGCTTACTTTGGTACTCTCCCAAACCAAGGGCTGCTGTGCATAGGGAGGATCCTGCAGCATACCTTCAGGCAGGGGTTTTCAAACTCTGGGTCATGGCTAGCCACAGGATGGCCATGAGACACTTTGTTTACCTGTACCTCCACACATATCGGCAATCGCACTTCTGTTGGTCGTGGCTCGCCATTCCCGGCCATTGGGAGCGGTGGGAAGCAGTGTGGACTAGGTATGTAAGGGAACTTCAGGCGGGTTTTGGGCTCTGCTGATCAACTTCTTTCCTTCCTCCCCATGCCTCCTGAGGCCTGCAGTCTAGGTCTAAGGCAGGCTCCCCACTTGCCCTTCTTCCAAGGGCACAGCCACCCTGCAGTAGCCCCTAGGGCTATGTCTAGATTACAGGGGGTTTTCAGGAAAAAAGTAGCCTTTTTTCGAAAAAACTTCACCTGCATCTAGACTGCCACCATGTTCTTTTGAAATTAAATGGAAAGAATGGGTCAGTTTTTTCGACAGCAGTAAACCTAATTTTACAAGGAAGAATGCCTTTTTTTCGAAAAAGCTCTTTAAAAAAAAAGGCGTTCTTTACCACAAGCAGGGTTTTTTCAAAAGAGAGCATCCAGATTGCCTGGGTGCTCTCTTTCAAAAAAGCGGATCACTTTTTTGAAAGAGTTGTGGCTGTCTAGATGATCTCTTTCGAAAGAAGCATGTGGTCTAGACGTATCCTAAGTGCAGGGATGACCAGGGAGTCTCCATGCATTGCTTTTCCCTGTGTGCTGGCTCTGTAACTCCCATTGGCCAGGAACCATGACCAATGGGAACTGCAGGAGCAGTGCTTGCTGGCACAAGGAGAGCACATAAAGCCTCCCTAGGGGCCACAGGGATCTGACGGCAGCTTCTGGGGGCCACAATAAGCGCTGCTGGGATCCTGCACACCACCCCTGCCTCAACTTGGAATCCTCTCCCACAAACTCACCCCAGAGCACTTGTACCCTCCTGCATGCCAACCAAGAGCCCCCTCATTCATGGGCCCACCCCTGGGCCCATCCCCCAGGCAAAGCCCTCTCCCGCACCCACACCCTAATTCTCTGCCTCAGTCTTGTGAAAGTAAGTGAGGGTGGGACAGAACGAGTGACAGAGAGAGGAGAGATGGAGTAAAGCGGGATCTGCACCTTGGAGAAGGGGCAGAAGGTCCTGAAACATTTTGAAACAAAATGGGGGTCCTCCTCAGATTGATGAAGTTTGAGAACAGCTGCTGTAGTGTACGTTTTTCAAGGTTACTAGTTAAGACTTTTTGTACTGGTGGATTTCCCATAAGACTCTCACTTAGACTATCCTTACACATATTTTTCCTTTCAGTGGCATATTCCAAAGGAGGGCAAGTGTCTCAGAATGATTTTTCCAAGTGCTCAGGCTCTTCTTTCTTCTCCTCCTCTTCAGTAACAATAATTCTATTTGTATCCATTTTCATTCTATGTTTAAAATGTGGTCTCACATCCCACATGTATCCCGAGGCCCTGTCGTTGTTGATGACATGCCCAGAGGCTCAGAAATTTAGAGAGCAGATTTACAGATTTCTTCTAGCTCCTAAACACACACCCAATTTAGGAATCTATTTGCAGTTGATATTTCTGTAGCAAAGGCGGGAGAAGCAAAATGGCTAGTGTCAGGAGTGGCCTGCTGACTGAGGTGGGATTCGTTTAAGATACTGTGCTCCTTCTCATCCAATTTGGAACCAAAGAAAAGCAAATTAGCCAGCAGTTCTTTGAATTTCCACTACATGCATCTGATGAAGTGGCTCTTTGCCCACGAAAGCTTACGCTCCAATAAATCTGTTAGTCTATAAGGTGCCAGAGGACTCCTCATTGTTTATGCAGCTCTTTGTGATTACTACTGTAACAAGCTAGAGGGACATTAGTAACAAGTTCTATTGAGTCTTGTCAACCTTTTAATGGGAATGTGAGGTGGCTTTTCAATTCATTTTAAGTATTACTAGTTTCAAAATTATCCTCTTTGGATATGAAGAGGACTGCTATGGTGGCCAGGAAGAAAATTCTTCATATAATACAGTTGTAATGAAACATAGCCAGGTTTAGTACAATCTACAGCAGGTTTGCAAGTATTGCATAATGCTAGAGAAAAATTCCAAAAATGGGATGTAGCAAAAGGAGGTTTATATAAAGTCAGAGTATAGTTACCAGATGTCCTACTTATAAGGACAGTCCCAATATTTGGGGCTTTGTCTTATATAGTATCATAGCATTAAGGCAATCTTTTTTGATCCCTTACCAAATATGACTGAATTAAATGAGAATATCTCATTTTGTAAAATATTATAACAAACTGAGAATAGACTTACCCAATTGCTGAAAAAGAAGGGCCACACTCGTATTGGTAACAGGAAGGCTATCATGTAAAGGGGTTTGTATCAGTTGTTTGTCTCCTGCTCCCAATGAAAACAATTTCTGTAGACAGAAATATTTTGGAACATACTTTAAACAATTTTATATATTTTTTATAGATTTACTATATATTTTAAACTCTTAATTAGGCCAAGCATATAGTAGAAAATGTTAAATTGTTATTTGTGTATTTTAATCTCAAAGATATTATTATCATTTCTTTTACAGACTGAAATTTTAATCTATATTGGAAATTGATGTCCTCTGTTGAGGTTGGCAGTGACTTTAATGGAACAGCAGTTAGATCTAGGGTTGTCAGGTGTCCAGTATTCACCCGGACAGTAGGTATTTTTGACTCCTGTCCAATAAAAAAATTCAGAGAATACCGGACACCTGAGATGTCTGGTATTTTCTGAAATTTTCCCTGGCCAGGAGGCGAAAATTCAGGGCACCTGGCAACCCTACAAACACTCAGTGCCCAGCCTCCCCCTCCCCCGAACTTTGTCCAGTATTTTTCTGATTTTTTCCCCGGCCAGGAGGCAAAAATGCTGGGCACCTGGCAACCCTACAAACACTCAGCGCCTGGCCTCCCAAACACCCAGCCCCCATGCTTACCTGGTTCCGCAAGGCTGCCAGCACAAAATGGCTGCCAGCCAAAAGACCTAGGGGAAGCAATGCTTTCCGCTCCCCTGTTCCCTCACTCTTAAAGAGGACATGCTGTTTTATTTAAAATTTGTTTTTTGGCTTAATAAAGTTTGGAGTCCTTTTTCTTTTTTGCTCAATAACTTTGGTCCCCCTCCCCCTTTTTCCCTTCAACAGAATGGTGTTTTTCTGGGGGGAGGGGGAGGGGAGAGAGGTGGTTCGGTATTTTTGTTTCAAGCATCTGGCAACCCTAGTTAGATCATAAGCATCTCCAGACCAAGTACCACTCCACAATTCTAGCGTTTGACCAGCATTAGTCTCTTCATTCAAAGAAGATGATAATGGTTAACAATTATAATGGTATCCTTTGGATTAAATTATTTCAGCATTATTTAAACTTAAAAAAACCTTAATTTTTCATTTTAATACACTTTTAAAAACAATGTGGTAATCATGTAACTAAAAGATGTCTAAAAATGGAGAATTAAAATAAGGACAATGGAATGATAGTTTGAATGTGCAAGGTGACAACTTACACCCCATAAGAAAGATCCTAATTGAATTGTTCAAATATTATCAATTGGTTTCCAGGAAGATATGCAACACCATGAAAAACATTACAGAACAGGAAAGAACAGAGTAAAAATAGTTTAAAAAGTACTGGCAGCAGAACAACAGCAGTGGGCAATCTGCTTGCCACACACAGCCATTTGGGTAATCCACTGGCAAGCTGGGAGACATTTTGCTGACATTGATCATGTGCAGACACGGCTCCCCACAGCTCCCATGGGTCACGGTTCACCATTCCCGGCCAATGGGAACTGCCAGAAGAGGCACGGGTTGTGGAAACATGCTGGCCACCACGTTTCACAGGACCCATAGGCCAGGAAAAGTAAACTGTGGCCCATGTGAGAATTGCAAGAGACCATGCCTACGGACGGTCAAAGTCAGCAAACTGTCTCTCAGCTGGCCAGTAGATTACCCTGAAGGGCCACAGATTGCTCACCCCACTGGACTAAGATGTTTAGTTAATAACAAAGAAGTGAAATAACTCTGAAATTTGGATTACCAGGTCACAAAATTTGTGAAAATTATAAAATAAGGAAAGCTATAATCACAGATTACTTTATCATCTGTTTCAGAAACTATTTAAGGTCTGCTATTTACGAGTGTGTTTTAAAACTGAGATTCGTTTCCTTCAGTGGTTTAAATAAAAACAACAGAAAAACATTAGCTTGTTTATCATAATGACTCTACTAATCATATTTATTACCATTTCATACCATTCATCTTCCATGGGTTTTGATACAACCCCTGTGTTACAAAAATTGGCTCCATAGTAAGACATAACTTATGCCCAACATCCTTCCTACAGTAAAATTCACAGTTATAAGTGTCATTCAAAGTTCAATTGATACAAGCAATGCTTACACCTGAACTGCTGAAATGTCAGCTTTAGTCAGAAGTCAAAATAATAGACATCATCATATCAAGCTTCTTATATCAGACCGAGACAAAATACATCTGAAATACATTATCTACTCTTCTGTTAAAATTGGTAGTAATTATTCTCTTGGTATGCAAAGCAATTTATTGCTGGAATTCTACCTATGTTCCTGTCTACAATATTTAAAGCCTAGAAAAACAAATATAGCAAAGTGGAGTGAAGACATAATTCTGTCCTCAAAAGCTTAGCACAGCTTTTACTTCCTAACTAAAAGCAGACTGCATTCACAACATACCATTTCAATGGTTCATATCATCAGCTATGATACAAAATTCATATGCTAACCTTTTTAATTTACATCTGAAGTGTAGTGCTCATTTGTTCAGTCTAATAATACAAGCGTTAAAGTCTTATGTACAGCTAAGTCCATCTTTCTAAATATTTTAATAGCCCTCTAACATTTAATGAGACTGTAGATAGTGGAAAAGATTTGATTTGCCTCCAAGTAAACTCGTAGCGAGTCAAACATATACATCTGAATTTTACTTATTCTGTGCTTGTGTTTAAAAAATAGAGAACTAAAGTGTAAATCCAAAAGTTTGTTTGAAACATAACATTACCATACATAATAGCAAGAGGAAAATTCCTATGGTAGATAATTTCTTGAGAATTTACAGCACAAACCTCATTACCTTTTCAATGGTTTCTAATTTGATATTGTTACTTCAAACTAATTGACATTTTACCTCTCCGAAGGAGTTAAAAATGGTTTCTTACCTGTTCTGTATATTTTCTTTGAGGTATGGTTCACATGTGTATTTCACTCAGGTGTGCATCTTGTAACCTGGAGCCAGAGCAGTACCTGTCAGGGTGGCACATGTGCCATACACTTCCTCTTAGCCCTTTCTAAGGCAATTTAAGAGCTGCACCACCACCATCTTTCACAGTTCTTTGGTACCAGACTATATAGTTTAATACCCCAGTGCAAAAGGAACAGAAAAGGAGCCAAGGACTATCTGTATAAACTACATCTTAAAGAAAAGAGGTACAGAAGTGGTAAATAACAGACTTTTTTTCTTTGAGTGGTTCATATCTGTATTCCATTTAGGTGACTCGAAGTCTATCTGAATAGCACAATAAAATTGTTTTTCCAAAGTTTGCATCAGCTCTGGAAATGGGCATGATGCTGAATCAAAGACAATGCAACAGATGTTATGACCAGAATAGAAAAGTCCTGTAAGATGGCCAAATAGATAGTTTGTGTTCTTGTGAAATGGGCAAGGAAGTCTTTCCATGTGGGAAAGTTCTGCTGCCCTGTAGGCTTTCAAAATGCATGCTATAATCAATGGGGGGGAGGGAGGGTCCCCTGCTGGCCTGGATACAGACCTCGAGGTTCAGGATCTATCTCCCTCTCCCCGGCATTGGAGAGTCTGTGCTGGTGCTCCAACCTTTGTGTTGCTCCGCTGCGGGGCTGGAAGCACACAAAAACTACTAGGCTGGGTCCTCTAGGCTCTGGTGTGGAAGGGGAATGTGAAGGGTGTCTCTCTCATCAGTGAGGGTGGGGTTGTTGTTTTTTTGCTTCTCACTTGTGTGTGAAGGCCAACTGATTCTTCTGTGGGTCAGTGGCTCCCGATTCATAAAAGGCTCCCAACTCCTGCTGTAATCTATCAGAGATAACCTGTGCTGAAACTGCTTGATCTTTGATTCTATCATAAGAAGAAACAAACAGGCAAGGAGAGATGCTTGAAACAGCTTCATTCTATCTGAACAGAATGCTAGTGTTCATCTAATGTATGAAAACACTTTTAGCCTTGGTGGAGTGTGGCTCTGAAAAGATACAGATAAGTATATTATTTGTACTAGATAAAAGTATTGAAATTCTTCCATTTTTCTGGCTCTCATTGTTGCACTGAAAAAAGTTATTTTCTGAGGAAGTTGAACTAGAGAGCAATTAGCTAGAGACTCAAATGGAGGGCCCATAAAGGCTATTAGCACTATGTTTAAGTCCCACCTAGTAACTGCATTCTTTGTAGGGGGATAGAGAGGAATAATACCTTTGAGAAATCTGTCCCTTAGAGAACACTGGCTTTTTCTCAATTGGTGGATGAACTGCTTAAATCATAGCTAAGTAGAACCAAAGTGAATTATGCAAAAGACCCGAAGACTAGAGGTGCAATTAAAGAATGTCCAGAATCTTAGCGACCTATTGTTGTACACCTCTATCAGCTGACCAGATTGAAAAATATTTCCAGTTACCAAGGCAGTCAGACCTTTCTACTACTTGTGCATCATAGCAAATACAATTATTGATTGGGTGCCACCTCCGGGGATGAGCCTCAGCACTCTATTGTTCAGGGACAACTTGTGATTATAGAAAAAGATTATAGAAAAAGAACCTGCTGAGATAACGTGAACAGCCTCAGGGATGATGCTGGCCTTGAGGCAAAACTAACAGGTTCATCACTTTGAACGGAGTTCATTTATGCCAGGCTCTCCCCTGCCTATTCACACAATACATCACTGTCCATGAGACTCTGAACTGAAAGGTCTGTGATGTGGGGAAGGAATAACCAATGACCTATTGCTGTGTCCATAACTAGTAGACTCACAAGTTATGAGCCCCCAATCTGTTTTCAAAGCATCTGGAACTATGATCCTGATTGGAGGTGGATAAGCAAAGAGGAACACATATGCTGTTCTGACCCATTGTGACAGGGCGCTTGCCCTGCACTGGCCCTTTAAGGGCAAAAACCCAGCCCTGAGAGAGGGCTGAGTGTGAAGCCCCAGCTGAGGCAGTTCTGGCTAATCAGGGCCCATCTGGGGACTATATAGAGAAGGGCTCCTGGAGGGAGGAAGAAGCTCATTTTTGCTCTGGCTAGAGAGCAGGAGGGACCTGGCTGCCTGGGAAGCAGGAAACTTCCTGGAGGTAGAGCTGTGCTGGAGAAGGAAAGCAGGCTTGGGGAAGCTCTGGCCA